AAAGCAGCTAAAGGGCTCGAGTTCACCGAACAATGAAGAGCCTCTTGATCCACGTAATGCTAACCCTGACCCGAGTGCTCACATCCAGAAATCACGGCATAAGTCGATGATAATTGTGTTCATCCTCGCAACAGTATCACACATCTCCGAGACGTAATCGTGGCTCTCGATCTGGGTCGATACAGGCTGCCAGTTGAGACCAAGATGATCTTCCACCTAAATCATGATGACTACGATAAGTGTTGTCAACCACCGCCCTACCAGAATTCTCGAGATCTCGAACCAGTCCACATTGGGATAGGCGATAATATGGGCGTTATAGTTGCCCGTAGCACCATTGAACTTGCCCATTACTTCAACCCTCTCGAGATTCCGTAACTGTCTCTTCATGCGATGACTGCAACAATAAAGCAGTAGAAAGTTCATACGACTAGAGATGATGATTGTTACACAAAAACAGCGCACTCCTTGCCGAAGGTCGTCGGAGTCGCAGGCTGGCCATGTGTAAGTGCTAATAGGGGAGTGTCAGCGTACTCCTAAACAACGAACGATATGAAGTTTCCACCGCAAGACTGAGAAATACTTGCGACAACTCTGCCAGTTTATTAATGAGAGCAATAAACCTCGATCGTAGAACCTGCTCCCGGGCCTCGGTGAACATGAGGGCATAGGAGAGGTTGTTGATGTCCTCACTCGTGCCTGTTGATAGGAGATAAGCCATCGATACAAGTTTGGAGTGAATACTCACATGCAAAGTGAGTGAACTCAGTGAGCTTAGCTAAAGTCGGATCGCCAGTTGAATGAAGCTTCTCCTTGATGAGGTATTCCACTGCCTTCACGTCGTGGTTGGTAGTACCTGAAAATTATATGCTTCGAGCACCGTACACGAGCACCTATTCTACGCTCAATCTCTTTGACTCGGAGACCATCAGCAACAGTAAGATCCGACGCAATTGCCGATAACTTATCCCTCTGCTCAGAAGACAGACTAGGGACCTATGGAGACGCTATCAAGGGTAAGCGAATTATACCGATAATGAGTTGACACTACCTCTGGGAATTCAGAACGATCACTCATCAACTTGAGCCATTCCACCTCAACACGCACACGCTGGCGAATAAGGCCGAACTCAGAGAAGATATGGTTGAGGTCAGTACCTGTGACGACTAAGGTCAGGAACCCGTCAGAGAGGCTAATGGTAGTACATTTATTTGCGTATCTGCCATCGACAGGCGAGATGCACAGCAATCTATGCTCCTGTTCAGTGGTGGCCATTGACGAGAGCAGAGGTAAAGAGGAAACCCTGTGACCATTACTAACCGTTTTGATGGGCAACTCAATAATGGAGTGAGCTGAAGGACCTACCATCCCTCCTTGCCGACAGTAAACCAAGTGACCAGGAACACAGAGAAATAAGTGGACGGCTACGCCAACCAAAGATAGGGCTCAATACAATCCCTTAATCCGAATGGGGCGAGTATGCCAACCAAAGATAGGGCTCAATACAATCCCTTAATCCGAATGGGGCGAGTATGCCAACCAAAGATAGGGCTCAATACAATCCCTTAATCCGAATGGGGCGAGTATGCCAACCAAAGATAGGGCTCAATACAATCCCTTAATCCGAATGGGGCGAGTATGCCAACCAAAGATAGGGCTCAATACAATCCCTTAATCCGAATGGGGCGAGTATGCCAACCAAAGATAGGGCTCAATACAATCCCTTAATCCGAATGGGGCGAGTATGCCAACCAAAGATAGGGCTCAATACAATCCCTTAATCCGAATGGGGCGAGTATGCCAACCAAAGATAGGGCTCAATACAATCCCTTAATCCGAATGGGGCGGGTATGCCAACCCAAGATAGGGCTCAACATGATCCCTTAATCCAAATGGGCGGCTATGCCAACCCAAGATAGGGCTCAATACAACCCCTTAATCCGAATGGGGCGGCTATGCCAACCCAAGATAGGGCTCAATATCATCATTCAATCCAAATGGGGCGGCTATGCCAACCCAAGATAGGGCTCAATATAATCCCTTAATCCAAATGGGGCGGCTTTGCCAATGCAAGATAGGGCTCAATACAATCCCTTAATCCGAATGGGGCGGGTATGCCAACCCAATATAGAGCTCAATACAATCCGTTAATCCGAACGGGGCGCCTATGCCAACCAAAGATAGAGTTTACTATAATCCCTTAACCCGAATGGGGCGGCTATGCCAACCTAAGATAGGGCTTACTACGATCCCTTAATACCAATAGGAGAGTTATGCCTCTCCTAATTACGCCTCATCGCAAGAAATCCAGTTGGGGGACGAAACGATACCTCGCCCGTGGGGCAGATATGCCATATCAGCCTATATATCAAAGATATTACCCCGAATTTGGCCTGCATATAACCATCACTAAGAGCAAGTGGCCACCCATCAATTGCGTAGTGTAATGGCAACTTCAGTTCCCCGCTGAACTACCCGTTGTAAGAATCAATGAACCACTACTACCTCTTACTGTCCCAGCTACTCCAAACATAGCTGTGGACGACAGCTTCCAAGCTTTGGTGTTTCATATCAGTCAACAACGTGAGTAGATCCAACTCGGAAACATCCACACTTTAGACTTCTTGAGAATCAGCTTCCACATCACACACACGCCAGATGGTAGTTACCACAACACCCATTCCGACTGAACTCAACAGAGGATTGAAGCGCGAAAAGGTAAATACTACAGGATCTTCCAGTTCTAATACTGCATCCTTGATCTTTCCAGCCACCAAAAGGGAGCTGTGATATGTGACCGTAAACATCGTTATCACGATGGTAACCAATGAGGAATAGTATTAACTAGTCGTAGAGAGAAAGAAGTAACAGGTTGTAGCGTATCGAAAAGTCAACTACTACTCATAGAAGGGACAACAACCAAGAGAAATCTATATACCAAGCATTAGAAGAAGGAGAACAGCGGATATACTCACTGGGGGAAAGAACGATAATGGTCGTGTCTGAGAACTGTATTAACAAAACGCTTAAGTGATTCTTTCGTAGGGTACACCAGACGAGCTTTTTCCAAGGCAGCTCTATCCCTTACGGCTTCCTGTACGGTCTTCCGTAGGGGAGCATAAACCCGCTCACGCTGGACGTAAATAGCTGCTATGTAGCCACCTCTATTTCGCCATACACCACGAGGCGGGTTGTCGCCTTTCTTCACACGAGGAGGAGTACTTCCACCCATCGACCGAGACCGAGCTTTATCACAATTATGTTCAATATGGAGGCCAGGAGGAAGGCATAGGGTAGATGTCAGAGCCTTTAAGGCGTCACAGCAGAGGTTTGGAGGGACCTCAGACAGAGGACAATAGCTAGAAGGCGACCAATGCATAGAAGGCGTTGAAGAGAAGCAAGGCTTAGCAGAATCGATACCCAACCCTGGCAATGACGTATGCGACTGAGACGTACAAGTCTCAACCGAAGAAGAATCCCTCGACGTAGTAGAAGCAGTAGACAGCGCCTTAGTAGAAGGACGTTCGTTGTAGTCAATAGGCACGACCACAGACAGCAATGACTGTCCTAGTTCCAGAAGGAAATCACCCTCATCATCAACCTTCGACGAATTAGCGGAAATACTCATAAGCCACTCGCAACGACACCTCAACGATGTACTCACGCTTGCTAGCGCAATGTATATATATCTGTAATATAGCGTAGAAGTTGATTATTAGCCAGCACGGTTGGCTCGTTGAGGAAATGCAAGATTGCAAGATTCATTGAGTGGTGTTACGCATCGCAGGCAGCACGATCTATGCAACTTGTCTGTTCCATGGGAAGGAGATCTGCCTCCTCCCCATAAGGCCATTTGGACTACGGGAGGATCTCACAAAGTTGGCCTAAGAAGCTAACACATCACCTGAAAAGAATATCATCATGTCTGCTACGGGGTTCCTGCCGTAGTAACGGGAGCGCGACTTTTTGTCAGCGACGATGTGAATTATGTCGAATTATCAAACGGTTGATACAACCTGAACATCTATGAGTGTGAAATAGTGAGGCAGAGGGCGCCTAGCTAGGCTATTGGCCAGGACAGCACAGAAGAGACTAAGTGCTAACAGAACTGATGAGGGATTCAGTCGAGCTTCTCGAATTGACAGAATGTCCCTACTGGAGTTCCAAAGGAAAATATCGGGGATACCTCACGATTGCTCCACTACCAAAGCTGTGACAGCGGCTGTAAGCGTCATCAAAGACCTAGTTCGTATCTTACCATGCTGAACCTAAGATACTCTCATCGCTAAGCTCTGGTTCAATGTATCACGATGGGCTAGTGTATCGCGCCATTGAGAATGCCCTAGATCAGAATAACACTGAAGAAGGAAAATATGACTAACACTTCTGATGGGGAAGTGTATCAGGCGCCAGCGCCACCACTGGTGATCCTCCTTGTAGTTAACAAAAATTAAGTTCTTGTTTAGACTTGGGCTCATTGACGCGTCTCCCAATTTCCATTGCCTGTCTTGTTAATTCAAAGAGTAGTGGTGGTCACAGATTATCTCGAAATCGAGTTCTCATGAACGGGCTTTCGCCTTGCCCTACTGCTACCATCACTACGACCAGTATCACAGTCAGTGAACCTCCAACATCAGCTAAGACCTCACAAGAGAATGCGATACATATCCCTCGGTCTATAGCCCATTCAGAAGCCGCAGTTAACAGACATAAAAGACTACAGAAAACTAAACTGTGCAAATACGGCGAAGATTGCGAGTAGGACCATCATCATTCTAACCCTGAATACTCCCGTAAAGGTATCGAGCCATCGGTCGCTGCTTTTACGCCCATTCTATTGAAGAAGTCCAACCACGCCTTCCTAAAACTGAGGAGGAGGTCGTCAGTGATTCCCTCCACAAAGTACCAGTCAGGACCTTGCTTCAGATAGCAGCAGAGAATGCCGAGACTATACGTAACATAGCTCTACAAGAACAAGCTGCTGCTATGCTAGCTGCGAACCCTTGGTACTACAACCCACAGATCGCCGCTACTCTGGCTGCTACCTCTATGGTCAGTACCACCATCAGTGATGTTCTTGACGTCCATCTTAGGCCGCTGGTCCCCCGGCCATACCCCGGGCTTATGCAGCATCAGCTACCGCTTATTGGGCCGCCCTTCTCGGCCAGGCAGCCACTGCTGGCGAATTGGCTAGGGTGAACGAGACGCCTCATATGTTGTTACTTGAGAGATCATTGCTCAGGCGGTGGGTACGACGACAATTCCAAGCCTTATGGCCTCGAGCGCTGTGGCCGCTACCTCAATCTTGGACAAGTCGGAAGCGATCCCGGGGTACGGCCAAGTCCCTCTGGCAGACTTTGCCATGTTGGGTTTGCCGGGTAGCCATGTTCGTACTGAGTCGCTTGTATGGACCTTGGCTTCAGGTGGTGGAGGTCTGCTACCTCCTGCTGTGAGTGCTCCTGTTACTGCTTCTGTCAACGACTCAAGGTGAGGCCTAACGAGAAGTGAGGTCAGAGTCTCTCATTAGCTCGGCTTTGTTGACGAAACCACCCGGATTGGTTTCCCATGATGAGAGCCCTGATGCTTCCTCAAAGGCCCCCTCAGTAGATGGCCATGGTGCCCGTACGAGCAAGGCCAATGACTGTAAGGCACATACACGCTGAGTGGGGATTGTTTACTCTCCTGTAGATGATGCTGTCGAGACCCAGAGTGACTTTGGTGGTACCAGAGATCTGGCCAGTCTAGGAGTTAGCATGAACAGCATGTAACAACTCGAGTGTATAGTCTTTGACTGTTATTGTTATGCAGATCCAAGTCGAGCTGAAGTACCCTCGTCTGGTCGTAGTAGATTGTCGTCTGTGCTACTCAAAGTAGCCGTATGAATCCATCCATATGGATTACTATCATTTGCCATGTCCGAATCTCGACTATTGTCCACATGTTCTCGACTATTACCACCTTCGACACCACCTTCTAGTACACGACTCAGTCTATGATGATTATTTATAATGATGCTCATTTATATCGCTAGTTGTTGTTGTAGTAGTAGATCGTCTTTGTATGCATGAGTAGTAGCAGTAGTATAAGTAGTAGTTACGACGACTGTGAGAAGAAAGCTCTGTATTGATACTGTTTGTGTGTTGGTGGCTATATTACTGCAGCGGTGAGTGCTACGACGAT